AAGAGCTTCTTTTGATTGTGAATAGGTTGCCAGCTGGGCAGCATTCACAACCATTGCTCGAAGAACGGTAGGTCCGCAACCCTGTAACAATCTTTCATGCCTTATTTCGGCCTATGACGATCTTCTACAGTAGCCCAGAAGATCTCAGCATCTGAAATTTGATTGTTTTTCCATGTAAACCACTTTCTATGAGTGCAAACTGCCTTGAAGCCATTGGGGAAGATCGCTAATCGATGAATAATCACATAAACGGCTAAGGAACGCAAACAAACGCAAAAGGATTTCTCCTTAACGAAACGAAGGAAGGAAACAAGCAGAATATGAACACTAGGAGAATGCACATCAAACGAGGTAGCTTGGATCGTAAAAGTCATAAAAGCTTCATTAGTGGCGTTTCTTGCTTGAAGGTGAGAAAGATACGGTGATGGGCAATCAAAGTATTGAGATTAACATGTCGATTTAAAAAAAAATGAATTCGAAACAGAAACTTGCCCGCCACAACGTTAAAACTCCTTCTTCTTTGACCACACGTATTAGCGCATCAAAAACATTTTTGTATTTGCGCTGCTGATCGGGTGGCAGTCTGAATATCGAATAGTTATAAGAAATTAAAAGAAAAAAAAATAAGTTAAACCTGTCCATCTCTATCAGCCTCTTGGATTTTTTATTCTAAGATACGTAGGCCTTTCAAAAATGGCCACTTTGCCAACACTGGTCACTCATTTGTAACAAAAAAGGGTGGTTTTCTCTTCTGAGAAGTGCTCAAAAGTAAGGTGAGCAGATACGCTCGAAAACTGAACTTGCAGGGCTTCCTCGAAAGGATTCGAGTCAGCCAGGAATCTTAAACTTCTTTTTTTTATCTTATAACATATAGTGATCTTCGATAAAATTCATAAAATCAGTAAATAAGAACATAGCCAGTCACTCAGTCGAAGATACTTCGAATATATATTTGCACAATTTTTACTTGACGGGAGAAATTCAGGTTAAATCTGGAATTTTACCATAATTACAGAAGATGGACTGCAACTGCTATCAGCTTGTTTCTAAGCAATCCACAAAAGAGGCAGTCACCATCCAACGGCTTCTTGCTGCTGCCAGTTGCTATCCCCGGATTACTTCCAAATGCCTCCGCCTCTCACAGAGAGTCAATATAGAGGAGTATTAACTTTTGACAAGATAAAGTAAGCATCTACCGTCCATCGGCGCACATTCGAATAAGCGCAACTTCGGTGGGTGTTCCAACAAACGAACCTGCTGCACCGGCTGCTAGACCAATGCCAGCTTTCGTTGCAAATGTTGGTGCTTTTTCGCCTCTGAAATATTGACCTTTTCACGGAAAATATTGGCGCCTTTTTCACTAACTTTTTTTTAACTTCATTTTAAAAAAAAACCCCCCAAAAAAATCTTCTTCGATGTTTGGAAAAGTAAAAAATGCAAAAAAAGCTCCGCACGGAAAATGAGCCCGGAAGCCAAGAAAGAAACGATACGTTGTGAAATGCTCGAACAGCCATGTGTAGATGCCCAGTCGTGTTGTTGTGTATGTGGCTTGACGAAGAAGGCCGGCCGAAAGGCCGTTGTAAATAGCGAGGAATCCCTCGTTCGCTATGATCGATCTCAGTGCATGAAAACTTGATCGAAACTCCTTTTTACCCGATAAACCGCTCAGCTGCATGCGATTCTTCACCAGATCCAACGGCTGCACAAA